CAATATAAGGGTTCAAAGGTCATCGGGTCAACTGCTCTTAAGCTGTCGTAACCGTGGTGGTGAAGTGACCGTTTACGTCAATACTTCCAGGTGCATATGTACGACTTACGTTTTGCCTTGCTTCCCAAACTATTTGTTGCTCAGTTTCGAGTTTCAAGTCAAGACATATCAGTAGGTACTGTACAATCTTAATACCTAACATCTACCTTTCTCTAACATGTCCGAAACTCGAAGCAGCGACCTTTTACGATGTATTTAATGCGGCTGTTATGGAACACATCTATTGTACTTCATGCAGTTCTGCTGGTGCTTTTACCGATTTACCACGCTTTTCTCATCAATCTTGGACTACCAACATCGTTAACTGCCTCACCAGGTCCAATGCGGCCATTGATCTGGTATTCGTAAACAATATGCTGCTGTTCTCCGTGTGTAACAGGACGTCACCTGGTACGTCGGATCATTTCACAGTTAAACTGTGTCCTGAAACCTACTCTAAGACAAACCATAAGGAGGCTACTCCTTACAACGATCGCAAGTTTGATGGGGGCAATGTTCCGCACATAATATTGACCAACCATGAGAAGTGGTATCATCCACCGATTTCAGGTTTTTTGACGCTGATGTATCGACGTATAGCTATTGGTCGCCAAGCTACCTGAAATGTTATTTTACTATTTACTGTCAGTGCGAAACTATGTTCATCCATGCGGACAGTATCACTTCCCCCATCTGAAGCGGTTGAATATACAAAAGGAGGAATTTTTCAAAAGAAAAGACAAGATATCAGCAAAATCACTTCGTCCTTATAAAGGAAGCGTTGAGCCCTCTCACCAACGTGTACGCTCAGACTACAGTTGGGAATAGTAGCTATCGTGAAAATACTCGACCTACATCAACCTTCGAGGTAGCTGTGCAAAAACTGAACCATGAATTCTGCAACTGCTACAACAATTCAACCTCCGGTTCATCATTTGCTTAACCAACATTTCTACAGATTCATTGCTCCCCGCCGACAGTGACGCTTTGCACAAGTTACTGAATCAGTTTTACTCAGACAAAGCAACCGGTCCGGACAGACATTCTCCCTTTTTCCTCCAGAAATGTGCTGACCGCCTGACCAGACCTCTGGCTACTTTATACACATTATGCATTCAACAACGTAAAATGGTCGACTGCTGGAGTAATGTCAGTAACACACCAACATCAAAAGGAGTTCAAGCGAATATCGACCAATGGTTTTTATTTCGGTAGCTTTAGTGTCGGAAAATTTCATTCTTGTGTGGATGCTGATATGAAAGCAATCAAATGATTCTCTTCAGTTTGCATACCGCAGTTCGAGGTCAGCCAAAGACACACTAGCCTGCCTTGTGCATTCGGTTCTGTCATCGCTAGACAATAGAATCAAGTTCACACGATTCTGTTTTCTGGACTACATCAGCGCATTCAGCTGCACAAACCGTAAATTACGGTTAAGAGGTCTACTCGGTGTTGGACTACATTCTTCCATCGCCCTTTTGTTGAACAATTGTTTTCGCGTTCGAAACCAATTTGGAAGAAAAAGCTCCTAGCCACTAATCGCAAACACCGGAGCTCTTCTGATGCCATTTCTATTTTCCTAACCTAGGCTCAATAATATCTCCTGAGGAGGCCATCCTGCTGACATATGCAGATGATATTGTCCAAAGCATTAAACAAACAACCACTGCCTCTTCACTCGGATTACAGAAGATTCTTAGCATTCGCACGTATTAATCGAAAAACCGCAAGCTGTCGCTTAACGTGTCAAAATGCAAGGATGTCGTTTTTTCATTTCACGGAGGAAATTGGTACCAAGGACTTTTCCAGCAGTGCTCTTAACTCCACATTGATGGTGAGGGCTGTCACTCATTCACATCAGTGTTAGGTTTAGATACGAGTCACCTTCGTCACAACATCTGAACTAATCTTTCACAAGCGTCTATGGACTATCGTTTCAGGCCAACGTCTGCGAGCCTCTTCTATCAAGTATGAATCGATATTTCGTTTTGTCACTGCCCGTGTTGTTTCCCACTGGACGTAATGCCCACGTGGGATTTCGCTAAGTCTACTGGGTAAGCACCTCAGATAAATCTCCAGGTCAACGGCAATTAGTGGTCAGATTTCAGAGCTATTTATCGAACCCCATACAATTCGAGTATGCTGTGCCGCAAGGCTCACTTCTAGGTCCACGTTAGTTTTTGGTGTGTATTAATGACCACGCACAGAGAATCTCTTCAAACTTCCTAATGTTTGCCGACGATATCAAGATCTGGCGCAGGATCCAGGCGAACGCCGACCAGCATCTGCTCTAGAGTGACATAGATACGGTGTATCAATGGGCAAGTCAAACCTTACTGCATTTCAACGTCAATAAATGCAATGTGCTTACTATCCGACATCAGAGCAGCTACTCATACCGGCTCGGAACGAATATACTACAACAACCAACTCTCGAACGTGACTTGGGTGTCCTAGTTCTAGATGACTTGAGTTGCTCCAGGCAATCCGAAATGACCTCGAAGACTGTGGACCAACACGTCGGGCTGTTGCCACGGGCGTTTGGACAAGTAAACAACTCCATATTGCGACAAATGCTCCGTGTGTACGTTCGCCCCCATGTCGAATCCGCAATTGAAGCCTGGCATCCATGGCTGAAACACGACCTTAACGCACTGGAACAGCCACGACAGCAGACATCTAAGAATGTAAATGGAATGCGCAATCCTTCATACGAACAGAGGCTGCAACGATTGTGGGTGTTCAGTGGAAACCATCGCAGACTACGAGGCGACCTGATTATGGCATACTTGATGCTGCGAGACCCACATCATGTGTACCGACCATTACTGGGACTCAGCACCAATACAAACCTGAGGAGCCACTCACTGAAACTCGCTGTACAGTATAGCCGCCTGAAGTGCCACAGAAATTTCGTTTCTATTCGTGTCTGTCACCCGTGAAATGCTCTCCTGAATCGGTCGCCTCTGCACCGACATTAAGAGTATTTAAAAGACGGTTGGATGATGCACTCAACCACTTACACTTTGTTACTTAACACTACGTCTCCATCCTACACCTGGAGTTTACCATGGAATTATTTGTTGTTAACTGTGGGTGCTGTGAATATAAGAGGATCGCGGAACTACGGCGGAGCAAACGATAAGTCCTTATTTTCATATTTAAAGTACTAACTGTTGTACTATCCTTATCATCATTATTGTTATGTTGATATCCCCACGAACTATCCAACGGGACTTGTCAATCGATGCTTCTTAACCCGTATAAATTCATTGTTCATTTTTCATTAAAACACTTGTTACGGCGTAGCGGTACATATTCTTGTTCACTTATGTTGGTTGCAAGTGACTGGCGTCAACAGCATTTGCCCACACAAGTCGCCCCATTCGTTATGCATTAGTGGAAGTTGTGTCCAGCTCGTCAACCAGAACTAAGCACACTTCCATATATGTCCGATCACGAGCTTAGCGTTTGTCATTTGTTCTTTATCTAGCGCATGTCATCAAATCATTAATGAAGTTGTTCGAGGACTAACAAACCAGATTATCCTATAATGACATTGTGTTTTTTCATTTAATATTACGCCTCTTTGTTTTGCGCTTCCATCTTCAGCATCGTTGAAAGCATGTGTTTCATTGCTGAACATTCTCCCTTCCTGGGTGCATGAAACACTTCCCTGACTTGACTTGTGTTCCTTGTATCGGATATTAGTGAACCGATCGCTTAATAAGCTTGTTTGTGCCACTATATTTGGAATTGCTGTGTGGCGCAAACCGTTAGCATTTAATTTTGATGTAGTGGAGGGTAGGCAGCGCAAATTTTCATGACTGTGTAATGATAATGGTTGAAATGGTTGATTGTGTGCCTTCGTCGATTCATACATTGCACTGGCCATATTCTGTTAATACATCTAGAGACTGCCACGGGACGAAAGTCTTTAACACATTTGGGTTGGTGAGAAATGAATCTAAAGTTGCTTGGAAGGCCGCAGGGGTTTGCGCACGCGTGTACCTGTAGTGACAGTTTGTTCCACGTATTGGTGTATCCTAGTAAACAGAAGTTTGATCGGATTTTTGACTGGCAAGTTGTTATGGTAGGTGTGGTCCATTACGATTGAGTTAGATATCGGTTTTCCGAAATTCAAAGGTGGTGCTGTCTGTGATAACTCGTTTATTTATAAATCATAAAACCCAAATAAATTTAGTCGGGAACAAAAACTAGGGTCCTGGTAACTGGGTTGGGAAGCTTCCCAAGAACAATCAAGTGAAAGCTCTTCAGGTCTTTTTCAGAACTGTTCAGTCCTGCTTTCTTATTTCGCAGTTAATGATGGCTAAATACTCAAGATTAAGCTTTACTATGAATTGGCGTAGCTCAGCTCGTGTTCAGACAGACAGAAACTTTTAGTGAATGAAGAATCGGTCATGTTCCAGTGTTCTGTTAAATATCGACTATATGAAATTTTATCTGGTCGCCCAGAGCGCAAAGTAGATAAAACGCAAGCCAGGAGCTTCCAATGACAACTGCCGTTTCTTTTCTATCTGTCTATTTCGTCAGAAAATTCCTTATGCTGTGAACTGGCCACGCGTGATTAAGTGTAGAAACGGTCATGCCGTGTTTCCACCAAAACGAGTTACGCAGCCATGGAAACAATAATCAAACATAGTTGACAGCTTGTTTACAGCTCACGGAAAACCTTGAGACCAATCAAATTATATTGTGTCCTGAATTTTATTGCAAAACTCTCCAAATATTACTATATCCAGCCTATTTGCTTCACACTCCCATTGATATGCGTGTTATTTTGACGAAACGGATAACCATTGGTTTAGAGTTTTCACGCTGACAATTATTGGCTGGCGAAATCTGCCAATGGTTGACAACCTCAGCGAACAGTTTGTTTAACTAAGTAACATCAGACTGCTCCTCAGTACAGAATTTACAAGCGTGAGGAACACATGGACTTGGTTTAAAAAACGGATTTATTCCTGATTGGTCAGTGAGGGTAAGTCAAAGCGATTCAGTCAATTAGGTTAGAGAAGAAATAATTGCCATAAATGCCATTACACAGAGCTAAACCTATGCATTTTAAACGGTGCTGATTTTCGCAATTCTGAAGTGAAAATGTTCTTGAAACACGCTTGCTTGCTTTTTCATCAAAAATGAGCAGAATTTCACCTACAATGAAGTAAGGCACATCGGGATGTGGTTATGCAGCACGTAAGTGTATTTGCCCGTCATGCTTCCGTTTCAATGTCTGCTTCATTGTCTGCGGCTGTCTCTTCGACATCTCTCTCCGTGTTATCATTTAGTTCCACCGGTTGAACGTCGACCTCATTATGCTCATTGGTCTTTATTGTTGTAACATCCGTCTCAGGAAGGGCCTCCGACGGCTGAGCAGCATCTAAGTCGGTGGTGACAGGAGTCGTTGGCTTCTCCGCTGGAGGCTCGACGGTCACCTCCGGTGCTTTCTCGCTCTCCATGCTTCTATCTACAAGAGTGCATGTTTCTTAGACACTTTCAGTTTGCAACAAATGATAATGCGAGTCAGCTGTGAAAAGCGATAATCGGTGGATTTTTATTTGCAAAGATGGGGCGTTAACACTGCTTGCATTCTGACAACTGTTTATTTATATTCAGTAGTTTAACTGGTTTAATCAGTGTGCGTTTGAACTGGGGTAATGAACGAAGACTCGTAAGGTTATTTGCTCCGGAGTATAGGTAAAGAGTTGAAGGCAATGGTGCATAAAATGTTATATTATTATATATGGTATAGTATAGTGTATGGTCGTCTCTGGTGTATTTTCCTCATATACTACTTGATTCCTGAACCCCAGGGTTTGTAAACAGCAAACACGTAGCTTCCCGTTTAACAAACTAGGCAGTCGGCCAGATCGTGCTGGTTATTAACGAAAAACTAGTCAGAAAGGATTGACTTCAATCAGACTGGCTGCTGGCGCTCATGACTTTAAGGTGAGTGAATATAAGTATACTACAAAACATGGGATCTCATAAATATGCTGTGAATTTGAGCATTGGAAACGATATATTCTCTTAACCCATGGGTCCAGTAGGCTGCATCAGTGCTTGATAAGTGAAGCTCAATGGACAGACAAGGCTGTGGCAGTAATCATGGAGGCTGATGGGTACATATTGTAGTGGATCTAACACATTTACGCTTTCAGTATTTTGAGATAGAACTTAATTTGTGTTTGTAACTTCTGGCCGTACATTTATCTTACTGATTGTGCATCGTAGTCACTTGCGTGTGGACGTACCTACGAACGCCGCGAATTTCTGGATAACCGTTCTGGATTCAACTTTTGCTTCGGGATTACTGTGTTATACGTGAGATTTTCTGTGCCAATTGTACGCCAATATTTTTCTTTTGGTGTATTTGTCAGTCTGCGCAAATTTGATGGATGTGCTCCGGCTATTTTCGGATCCCTCATTGATTGGCCAAAATGCCGTCTGTTTCCGTCATCTTGGATTTGTTCTACGGTAATCGGCCATCATGACCACCACACCAGTAACCAGAAACGAAGTATTTTGTGCTAATCAAACTTGTGCTAAGGTAGTAAAAGTAGGGTTGCTTTGTAAAAGTTTCAAGACCGATACCATTCGATGGGCGTTAATGTCTATGGAACGGACATAAAGAAATACAATACGCGGGGTTCACTTTGGTTCTGTCCGAAGTGTACAATGGTTCCACTAGTAAAATATGTACTGGCATTAACGCAAAAGTACAAAAGTCTAATCGCCGAAACTGAACATCGTTTGAATGCAAAAACTGTTTCGCTCGAAATGACAATAGCGCATTTCGCAGCTCATTCGTCTCCCGCAAATGTTGCCCGAAACTAAGGAAAAGAGGCAGGCATTCACACGGCCACGCAGTACTAGCAACCTTTGAAACCACGAACCATATCGTCCTCGCGACCGATAGAAACATGCCTAGCCCCACTGCCTACATCCACTTATCCACCGTATCTACTGCTGCAGCAGCGTTAGTACTCACTTTTCCGATTGACCAACGAAATCCGAAGCGATCTAAAGACCGATCAGCCTATGCAACGGTTGCTGCTCGGTATAATCAAAGTGCGGCCTCAGTAGCGTCACCAACAACAGCCGCGAAACGTGTCAAGCACCAAGTGCAACCTGCTGCGACGTCACTAAATCCCACGCTAACCGTGCACACCACATCCCCGCAGACCAGGGGGAACTACAGGGCCTTGACACTTTTATGTACCAACGTCCCTGAGTCAAAGGCAAACTTTTTAAGGGGTAAGCAGCTGGATGGTTTAAAGCAATGGAATTTCCCATGTGATAAAAATCGGAGTTCAAGCCAGTCCGACTAATACAATGCGCATCAGCAGACATCCGACCTCAAATCATTATAGCGAGTCCCGGCTAACTCGAGTAACACTGGGATAGACGCACGATGAGGAAACTGTGTTTTTGTCGGCATGCTGCCTGCGGACTGAAAACAATGGGACACGTATATTTCCAAATGTTTCATACAGTGAACTCCATCGGGACAAAATAAATCGAATGACCACCACACGGAGACTAGCAAAAGAATTATTTTCGTTCATGGCGTGCAAGAGCTACCAACAACCAGCAACGAAGAAGCTCACGCTCATAACCTGGAAGAATGGCGTTACATCCGTGAAGCTCTCTGTGTGGGTGACGTCATACTTCAATCGATTACACGGTTACCCCTGTCGCCAAACTATTGAGGCAGTGGACCGAGGATACTGAAAATAACGGTGCGGTCACAATAGATACCGTGAATTTAATCCGTAGCTGCCAGTAACTAGGAAACACATTTCCTTCGGAACTACGACTGAACACAGCAGTTAGAGAGCTGCAGCCACTCGCTGTTCTCACAGAAGCAACATCACCCGAGACCCAATATAAACACTACAGCGATTCAGTAACCTGTGCGGTAAGACCCGCAGCTATCAACAAGGCTGCCGATGGAGTACATAGTGCAGAGAAATGTGAGATCAGAAACCGATTACATTGTCATCGGGATTGGGCAACTCACCCAAAAGTACGATTTGATATCTGCCTCTCATCGATTGCCACAGATCCACATCATACATGTGCTCCTAGTCAACAGCATTTGACATCCAAGAAGCTTTCCTATATGCACACCAACATTCAAAGCTTGTTGAGTAAACTTTCCGAAATGTGGATGCGTCAAAGGTCAAAAGCCTGCGACCTCTTCACTAGTACGACGACAAGGTTAACTTCTGACATAAGTGACATGGAGATCATACTGTTCAGCACGACCGACCCAGCAAAGTTAGGGGAGTGGCTGTGTACGTCCGCAACGACCTCCAATGTAAGCCCATCGAAGATTCGGTGAGTACGGTACAGGATTCCCTTTGGTGTTCTCTAAGTTTAAAGGGCGAAGACATCTGCTTAGTCGCAGTCATTTAGCGCCCTCCTTCCTCCTCGCCTGAGATGAACTTTGATCTGTCATACGCAATAAGAAGGGTAATAAACACAAGGTACAGTCACATTCTCATTACTGGCGATTTCAACATCCACGCTCTGGAATCCCAAGCAGCTCCTGGAGAACGGTTTAAGGCCGATTTACGAGAGTTTGTTTCCAGTTACGCGCTGTATGTCCACATCAATGCTCCTACCCGATTCCGAAAAAAAGATACGCCTTCGATATTGGATCGGATATTTACCAACAATAAAGTAATGGTCGAGCAAATGATCGTCGACGTCCTGTTGGGTCTCAACAATTATGTAATTCTACTCTTCGAATACATTTACTATGCAGAATATCCGGTCGCAATTGCCGGCGCAATCAAAATGCATATACGCTATGGCATATCAGCTCAACTAAGTGAGACAGCCAACTGGACCTTTCTGGCAGACAAGGCACCAGCTAGTGCATGGGAACATTTCATCAACCAGTTTAACTCTCTGGTTGCCAAAGCATCAGCGACTAAGACCTTCCGCCCGAGAAACGTGGTCTCGTTTCCACGAACTATGACGTGCAAGTGTATAACGGTGCGGAACTCAGCTTCGCAACTGTAAAAACTCTCCTCGTTCACCGAGAAGTGACTGGTCTATGCGACCACACGTAACCAATGTACTCAAATTTTTCGCGCGGGTAGAATGGCGTACTAGCGGAAGTTGGCAGTACGTACGGTTTCAAATTACAAGCTTTTGTATCAACACGTGACCAGTCTACGTAAGGTGACACGTTGAATTCTTCCTTTTCAAACAGTAGACGAACTCACACGGACGCCAAAGGAGGCAGCGAATACCCTGCGCCTACAATGTGCTGCAACATTTCAAAGCGATCGCTGGCCACCTAACCCAATAACAATGGTTGTTTCATCCCCAAAACTCACTTGCATATCCTTCACGGCAGAAGCTGTGCTAAAAAGGTTGTTGAGTATGAGCAAGCACAGCTCTCTTGGAGTTGATAATATACATACGAAATCGCTAGCGGCAGTAGGAGAGAATTTAGCGTAACCTTTGTCTCGATTCTTCTAACGCTGTTTTGACGAAATGTACGTGCCCAACTTGCGGAAACACGGGATGATTATTCTTATTCACAAGGGAGGCAGTCGTTCCAATCCAGCCAACTGTCGTCCCATAATCATACTACCAGTTCTCTCATAGTTCATGGAAGCTATCATTTCTGATGCGCTAACGGCCTACTTAGAAGAATTTAATTACCTCGCATTGGAACAGCTTGGCTTCCGACGAAATCAATCGTGCACTTCAACCCTACTACTATCATGATCCAGCTGGACTGAAACAGAAGACTCCGGCACAAGATTGGATGTAGTCTTCCTCGACTTCTCAAAGGCCTTCGACCAGTCAGACCATGATATTCTGGTCTTCAAACTCCAGACCTTTAATATTTGTGATCCACTCCTAGGATGGGCCAAAAAATTTACTATACACCGGCGCTTGGAAGTACAGGTGAGTGAATCCCTGTCAGATCCAATACAAGTTAAATGTGGATTTCCACAGGGATAGGTACTAGGACTGCCATTATTTTTGACGTACATGTACGATATCACAGGACTCACAAGCTCGAGCTGCCTGCTTTATGCCGATAAGATCAAGGTGTGGAGGGCAAGCAATACACAAGATGGTGTCACAATACTTCAAGCTGATCCGGATAGGGTAGATGCGTGGCCAATCCAGAATCTACTTCGATTCAATGTCAATAAATATAAAGTGCTGCACATTCGGCACAACTTGGCGCGCTCCTGCAAACTCGACAACCAGGGGCTTCAAACGTCTTCTGACGAGGCCAATCTG